CCATACTGCTTTGGCTTGACTCTTAATTAAATCTGGAAACTTGCTGCTGTAATCATACATAGACCTGCATGTCATGACAGATAACAGTAACATTCACCTCCAAACAGCATTGTGTTTGTTAGGAATAGGGTAGGATCTTGTGTTTTATTTGCCTCCAAACCTCAAAATGAACCGAGGGCTTGTGCTCTGAGTACCTGACTCTCGTAGCTTCAGAGGCAATGCCTCGGTGACTTCACTTCATACTGCAAACACATTTTTCTGCTGACTCTGCCTGTGTATATGCTGTATCACTATAACAGGCGGCCACTGGCAGAGTTCAAGATGTAATCTCTAAAATTCACTGGTCATTTTTTTTTTTAAAGGTTTCACAAGTGTAAAATTATGATTGTTGCTATGTTCTTATTTTACAGTTCCCTTTTTTCATTCTCTGCTGTTGCATATGGAATCACTATACCAAAGGGAAGCTTCCTAATGGGATTAGTAGGTTTTTGTTCCCCATGCAGCTTCTGACATTCCTTAGGTATTCTGTCTGGTAGCTCTTCCTGCTATGATTCAGTACAGGAGAATGTTTCAAGCATGTGCATGTGTACATATGTAATGAATCAGCTGGTCTAGGTTGGGGAAGGGTGAGAAAATCAGTCCTGGTTCCTTTTCTTTCTCCTCTGACTTACTTGCTTACTGTATTGCTGTGAAAGTTGGAGATCAGGTTTCCCAAGATAAACCTGCTCTTGGGCAACAAATTTAGAGTATGTCATTTATGAAACTCATCTTACAAAAAAATAAACACATGCTGAAGGTAGATGCAATTCTCTGTCCACTCATCTATAAATTAAGGCTTTTTTCCCATCTCATAGTGAATAATAGATACACTTTTTGGTATGTAAAACTAATAACGGATTGAACGGTCTTATTAATCTAACTAATTTTTTTTCTTTGTTTATAGGTGTGAAAGAAAATGTCAGTCAGCATGCATGAAAATCGCAAATCTAGGGCCAGTACTGGCTCCATAAACATATACTTGTTCCACAAGTCATCCTATGCTGATAGTGTCCTTACTCACCTGAACCTTCTGCGTCAACAGCGTCTCTTTACAGATGTACTTCTCCATGCTGGGAACAGGTCATTCCCCTGCCACAGAGCTGTTCTAGCTGCTTGTAGCCGCTATTTCGAAGCCATGTTCAGTGGAGGACTGAAGGAGAGCCAGGACAGTGAAGTCAACTTTCATAATTCGATTCATCCGGAAGTCTTGGAGCTTCTTCTGGACTATGCGTATTCTTCCAGGGTTATCATCAATGAGGAGAACGCAGAGTCACTGCTGGAGGCTGGTGACATGCTGGAGTTTCAGGACATTCGTGATGCTTGTGCAGAATTTCTGGAGAAAAACCTTCATCCCACTAACTGTCTCGGCATGCTGCTGCTGTCGGATGCTCACCAGTGCACCAAGCTGTATGAACTCTCTTGGAGGATGTGCCTGAGCAACTTCCAGAGTATCAGTAAAAGCGAAGACTTCCTCCAGCTGCCAAAAGACATGGTAGTGCAGCTGCTTTCCAGTGAAGAATTAGAAACTGAAGATGAAAGGCTGGTGTATGAATCGGCTATCAGCTGGGTCAACTATGACCTGAGTAAGCGTCACTGTTACCTTCCCGAGCTATTGCAGACGGTGAGACTGGCCCTCTTGCCAGCCATATACCTTATGGAGAATGTGGCCATGGAAGAACTTATCACCAAGCAAAGGAAAAGCAAAGAGATTGTAGAAGAATCCATAAGATGCAAGTTAAAGATCTTACAGAATGATGGAGTAGTCACTAGTTTGTGTGCCAGACCCCGTAAAACTGGCCATTCACTTTTTCTTTTGGGTGGCCAAACCTTTATGTGTGACAAGCTGTATCTGGTGGACCAAAAGGCAAAGGAGATCATTCCAAAGGCCGACATACCAAGTCCACGGAAAGAATTCAGCGCTTGTGCCATAGGCTGCAAAGTGTATATCACCGGGGGACGAGGGTCAGAAAACGGAGTTTCCAAAGACGTATGGGTGTATGACACCCTTCACGAGGAGTGGTCGAAGGCTGCTCCGATGCTGGTAGCTAGGTTTGGGCATGGCTCTGCTGAACTTAAGCACTGTTTGTATGTCGTGGGAGGACACACTGCAGCAACTGGTTGCCTTCCAGCTTCCCCTTCAGTGTCCCTAAAGCAAGTAGAACAATATGACCCTGTGACCAACAAATGGACCATGGTTGCCCCACTGCGAGAGGGAGTAAGCAATGCAGCTGTAGTCAGCGCAAAGCTTAAGCTGTTTGCTTTTGGAGGTACCAGCGTTAGCCATGACAAGCTGCCCAAAGTTCAGTGCTACGATCAGTGTGAAAACAGATGGACAGTACCCGCCACCTGCCCCCAGCCCTGGCGCTACACAGCTGCAGCTGTTCTGGGTAACCAGATTTTTATTATGGGTGGAGATACCGAATTCTCTGCATGCTCTGCTTATAAATTCAACAGTGAGACATACCAGTGGACTAAGGTGGGAGATGTGACAGCTAAGCGAATGAGCTGCCATGCAGTGGCATCTGGAAATAAATTGTACGTGGTTGGAGGTTACTTTGGCATTCAGAGGTGCAAAACGTTGGACTGCTACGATCCCACGTTAGATGTATGGAACAGCATAACAACTGTGCCCTATTCATTAATTCCCACGGCATTTGTCAGCACATGGAAGCACCTCCCCTCATAATTGTGTGTATGTTGCAATTAAAAATTATCAGGTAAGAAATAGCACCTTTGAATTCCACTGTAATAATGCTTTTCACAAAGCTTTTTAGCAGCAGCTCTGAGGTGGGTGAGTATATTCAATCCAGTTTTACAGCTGGAGCAACTGAGACACATATTCATGGGCTGTTGTAAGCCAGGCACTACATCTGTGACAAAGCCAAATGCTGGAAGTAGTTTGCCACATATCTTGCAGCCACTTCTCTTTATGGGACCTTTTCCTGCATGATTTCAGTGTTGAAAATGTTATTTTAGCTCAGTCCTTTACTTTTGTGGAGGTAATTTGGAAGTTTAATCCTGCTCTGCATTTACATACTAAACAGATGCTAAACAAGGCTTTGGTGCTGTCTTCCCGATGACAGAGGCCAGGTCACTCTGTATATCCAGTAATAGTGCCCCAAAAAGATACTGTGAATTCTGATCTGAAGCCCAATAGTGAATTCACTTGAATTTCCAGGCAGACAGCATGCTTTCTCCATGCAGACATCCTTTGGGGAAACTTGCTGTCTTACAAAAGGTGTTTTACAGGCACTTCAGGCCTAATTTTCCATCTCACCCAGACAGCATAGTTACACCTGCATGGACTGAGGTTGTATTTGCTCCACTGGTACACTTTAAAAGATTTTTCAAAATAGTTATGGTCATATATGTTGGACTAGATATAGTGTCAGGAAGACATATAATTAATATTACTGGCTGAAATAATTACCAGTCTATAGCATGCACTGTTCCAAAACAATTTAATTATACATAATGGGCCAAGCTCTTACCAGGTGCAACTTCAGCATTGTATCTTCTCACAAGCAAGTCTGAATTTGGCTTTGCTTGTTTTGGTGGTTGTGAATTTCTGATTTTTCGGAGGAGGGGAGAAAAGGTTCATGAAAAAAAACTAAAAAAATCTGCGTACCTACGCAAACTATTTTTCAAATCTGTTTTTTCATGCTAACTACCGTTACTTCAACTATTACTAGTTGTTCCTTATTTTTTATCTGTTTTAGAGTTACATCACTTAAAATAATTCACAGACATTTTCTAGAACTATTAATCTCTGTATTTTGCAACAAATCTGGCAGACTCCCCTTAGTGTTGTGTTGCTCTTTTCCCTCACTTCCCCCTTGAGACCTTAGTACAGAATCACAGTCAACACCAGCCAACCAAATATAGTGGCATGCTTAATCCTAAATAATCCACGCACTGTAAGTGGTAGTTTCTTTTTGGATTTGAACAGTGTGTAGTGTAATCATGAAGACGGTCAGGTTAGAAAGAACAAGGCAAATAAATACAGTTGCAGTAGATGTCTTTGAAGCAGAGTAGATAGAAGGATATACCTAGAAATGTAGGGTAGTCATGAAATTCCTTTCTGTGTAGTACACTGAGGATTCATCTTGTAGGTGCCTTTCAGCTGACTGGGAGCTTTGATTGAGTAAAGACTATGAGGTTGGGCCTGTGCAAAGCAGCAGGTCAGCATGGAAATCTAGTGTGAAATTGGGCTGTGTTGTGCCATCAGCTGCTCTTGTCTCAGGTGTTTGTTTGTCTTGAAGACACTGCCCTCTCTACTGTCCTTGCTTTGTTTTTCTCAGACTTACTCTTGGGAAAGCAGGGCAAACCCCCGAGACTTAACCAGATCCTGGGTGCTGGGAGTAATCGCGCCCCCCAACAGCCAGCAGATGGCTGTGCAATGGCTTCCTCCCTAGCTGGGAACAATGTCTTGACATCTTCAGTTAATTTCTATTATTACTGACTTTCAGCAGTTCTCAGTGTTATCAGAGCAGCAATATTGAATGCCTGGAATCAGGTCTGTGCCAAGAAAAATATTGACTTATTCTTCTGAGGCTGACTTAATTGTTCTGAAGTTTATGGTACATGAGAGGGAGTGTTTTATTTTGAAAGAGTCCTCACTCAGAATGTAACGGTGCAAAAGCTTTCCTTTGCCTTGCAGTATCTTGTTAAAAGCCATTATTTTAGCTTAGCTAACGCACAAGATAGCTGGCTTAACTAACACACAAGGTAACTGGCTGAGCACAGCTGTAGACTGAAATCTCTCCAATGCTGTGTGCTCATCCAGCAAGTAGTGGTTTTTTCCTACTGACTCCTGCTGCTTTGTCAGTGGGTGGGAGGGACAAAAAGGAAATTACTTCTGATTACCCTCTGTTTTCATGGTGCTGTGTGGCCCCAGTCTGACAGCTTTTAGGAAGAGTTCAGTCTGCTTTGTCCCATTGCTCAAACTTGGGGCTTTTGAGTAGGTTGGGGATTTTTTTTTTTCCCTCCATTTCAGAATTGTTTGTAATTGTTTTTTAAAGTTCATCCCATTATAGGGAACATTGTTTTGACTTCAGTGTTGATAGTGTGTTTCCGTGGAAAGAATGGCATACTATGCTGAAGAATATCTAGAAAACACTAATCAACACTAAGTGCAGAGGCCTTTTTTAAGACATAATGAAGATAGTGTGTTTCAAGCCCACAGTTGCAAAACGGCTTGATGCTCTGGGCTGTTAAGTAGGCTGTGGTGTTTCCTGTGAGTGTCCCCTGTTGTTCTTAGACATCACAGCTTGAGAGAGATGTGGTATGTTCAAATGAACTGTGAGTTCACTGCAGTTCCTTTGCATTGTAATGATGTAGGATTTGCCTCCTAAAATTCTAGCAGTGCTGTCAGAAATGACTGTGATGAGCTGATGATGGTTTGGAAGCTGGCATTTTAATACAGCTTCATACATAGTGAAAAAGCAAAGCAGGATCTCGGCATCCAAAGACTGAATAGCTCATTGAATAATCAATTTTCATAAAGGACTCTAGGATGGAATTACTGATGCATGGTACCTTGCTGTGTGAAAAGCAATGAGAGAGACTTCTGCTCTAATGAATAGCAGGTATGTTTTAAGTAAGGGGATTATATGTCCCTTTCCGTACTGTGAATAAATTCAATTCAGAATTTGTCATGGTGAATGGAGGCATTGGGGTGAGACACCTTCACCTCCCCTTCTGTGTTACTCTAGCCAGGTTTGCCTTGTCCCAGGGATAGAAGAAAAACTCTTTGCACTAAGTGTTCATGTGGGCTTTTGTGGAAGAGAAGTTGCACAAGGTTATGTTCATTTAAAACAAATCCAAAAAGCTTTAAGATTTTGGGGAATATAGAAATGTTGAAATACGCAGGCTGCAGAGCCCATCATACTGAACTGTATTGGGCCAGTTTGATTTAGGTTTGAAATGACTGAATTTATAGCCAAAAAATTAAAGTCTTTCTGGGGTCAGAGGGTGGTTTGCAGAGTAAAGCTAGTAGAATAATAAAGGCAGAATCTGACCCTAAATAATTATGCTCTTGACTGGCTCATTTATCAGTAGTTGGCCATCACACAGGGACACTGGGGGGGGTGGGAGGTGGAAAGCCCATCAACTGGATTGTGTCCTGAGAGTAGCTTTTAGGTTTTCTTTGGCATCTAACAAAAACCTTATGGTACATTGTCTCAGCAAAGCCCTTTAAGTCTTATTCTCTCTCTCTTTTTTTTTTTCTTTTTCCCATGCTTTTAGTTTACTCCTTTATTTGGAGAAGAGAATTGGAACCTCAGATCTGGAGAAACGGTTTTAATGAAGAAAAATTGTTCAGCATCTCTTGCATTTGAAGAAAATCATCTGCACCTTGTAAATTATCGAACCTAGACATGAAGGAATGGGAGGGGAAAAAAATGTCTTCAGTGCTTCAGCACGTGGTTTAAAGATGAATGGATGAACCTATGATCTAGTCCTTGTGCTAGTAATTGTGGATTAATGCCAATATTAATCAGTCCTTCAGAGGAGAACTTCTCTGAGCTGTGCAGCACACAGCACTCGGTTTCTGTGGACTCTACTGTTTGTATGTGAAATTTGAAATGGTTGTCACCTCTCTGTGGTGAAGTGCCAGTGCCAGCTGCAGGGGAAGCAGGCCAGGTCTGAAACAACGAGATGCTGCTGTGAATGAAGATACAGCGGTATTGCTGCTGAACTCTGCTAAGCGGAGCACGCTTGTCTGTGGGCAGTGCCTACAGCATCTCTTAGATCCTGCGTTGCATTGTCCTGTGTGCAGTGAGTGACCTTCCGCTTGATAAGGAACAGCCTAGTGGGAAATGTTTTTGCTACAGTGGGGAACGAATGACATCCCCTAAATGCTCCTTGTTCCCTTTCCTCCCTGTATTTATAAGTAATTCAAACTGTCCCATTCCTGTTATGTTACTTGTTGTAGATAGTTATTTATTGTTCAGTGCTTGCATGCTGAAACAATGCCTGCAATTGTCTTCATGTTGCAAGGGCTCGTGTGAATTGTTGTATGTTTTGCACATTTTGTGATCGCTGACTTGCTCTGCTGCACAAAGAAAGAAAACTGTTGGGTAGCAGTTGGAGATGGGAGGGAGGGGTGGCTTCCTGGTCGGAAATGGAAGGATTACAAGGCAGGATCTTAAATTACATACGTACTAAAGGAAGAAGCCATGGAGGTCACTTTCTCAGGCCACCAGCTCCCCAGGTTGCATGTGGTGTGTCATGTAGATGGTGTCCTTGCTACATTTCATTTGTTGGTCATGCCTTTCAATTTCTAATCTGGAAATAGCCAAAATCCCTTGCAGCTCTTTCTTTGTGCAGCTTCCTGATTGCAACGCAAATACTGTGGAAGAGCTTCTGGATACCAAGCCCAGATGAAGTCATTGTCCAAAGTTATTTATTTATTTATTGGGTTGGAGGAGAGGTACCTACAGTATAGCCACATTTACCTGAAGGAGTGGAGTATGGTGATTCAAGAATAAAAACAAAAAGCCTCAAGACAGGTTAATGATGAAGTCTTAAAAAAAAAAGCAGCAATTTTGCACTGACTGGATTGCCTCATCCATCTGGATTTCAGATGATCATCTGAGTGGCCAGGTGTCAAAGACCCAAGTGCTCCAGCAAAATTCTTATGGGGATAGAAAATGAATTTCAAACCTCTTAATCTTAAAAATAGCCCTCAAACTCTGCTGCCTTTTATTTTGCTGAGCCAGGTGTGTCTTTAAACACTTGGTTGCTTGGAAGCGTCAGATACAATCCTGAGAAACCAAGCTTTGATTTTTTTTTTTTTAAATAAATTTGTTTCTTATCAGTCTGGTCTTGAGAGAGAGATGAAGCTACTCTTTTTCTTCTGGATTTCAGAAGCTTATGTTTCACAGGTGCTTTCTTTGCCAGATCCTGTCATGAAGCATGTATTGTATTGTGTTTTTTCCTAAATGTTTTTGGAGCCCAACTTAACTGGCACATTCAGTAAAGTGGTTGGTATGTGCTGCGGTATAAGTAAACAGCTGCATGTGTGCATGCAAAACAAAAATAGTCACATTGGTGATGCTTGCCTTTCTTTGTGTGACAGTGATGTAGCTGTATTTGTGAAGGCTTTGTCATCTGAAAGTGTTTACACTGGTCACTGGAAGTTTCTCTGTGCTGCCTTACATTTGGCTTGCTGTTTGGAGTAGACACATTTCAGAAATAGAGTATTTGGAGTTCTGTGAATACTGAGAGAACATTGATTGATTAGCAAAGGCATTAGCAGTTTTTTAAAGGGTGAGGCCCAGCTAGATATGAACAATGATAGTTCCTCTGGTTAAACTGATTCCTTGAAATGATAGATTAAAAAAGTGTTTAAACCCACAGCCTTCCCCCCTCCCCCCATTGGTTCTTTTCTCTTAGATGGCTTTTAAGCAATAGGAAAACATCTTAGGTAGGGTATGTCTCCTTTCTATATCCCTGTACTTGCACAGGTTGCCCTGTTGAAACAAGCAGCTTTGAATTGCTGTTGCCTTTCATCTTGTGGATCACTCAGGTGAGTGCAAAGGGAGCCATAAAATCAGACTTCCTGTGCTTTGCATGTCCTCTCCCCAGGCACTAGTCGCTGCACAAGATACAAGGAAGTGAAGAACTGGGTCCCCAGGGGCCCTCTTGTTTGAATATGGGCATATAGGTTCGAGACCTGTTTTCTCCGTCAAGTTGATCAGAGTCCGGACGTGAAGGTGCGCTGCATCTACTCAGCTTATGAAATCTGTTTTGTAGCGCCATGCAACTTCTGAAAGTGGGATGAATTTTCTGCAGCTGTTTCCAAAGTTGTGGTCTGCTTTCAAGTCCTCGATTAATTCCTGTGTGTAGGCTGAAGGAAGCTGAAGTTGGGGTGGGCCTCTGGCTCTGCAAGGAATACGCTAGGCTATTGCTCTTTGAATTGATGTGGGAATCCTGGCTAGCTACTTGACCATTCCAGTCCTGCAAAACACCCCACACTTTAAAGCAAATGCAGTTCACAGCAGAGTGCACACAAAAACCCTGGCATAAGACAGGAAGGTTCCTCTTATTCTGCAGGCTGGTTGCTGTAGAAACATATAACAAAGGACAGCCTTCCTCTTCTGGTATAATTGTGCAGCCTCTTTTCTCTAGGTCTGACACCTGTCTGAATAAGAGTGATTAGAGCAGAATAATTTTCCCTTTCCTGGATATTGAAGATGTGGTTCATGTGCTAAAAGAAAACTGTGCAAGTGAAGAAGCAAAATTGTCTATGTTGTATCTTTTTGTTTGTTACTACATCTTAAGGTTTTGTAAAACTTGCATTTTTTTTTTCACAATGTGAAACTGAAGGTCAATAAATTATTAGAGATTTTCTCTGCATGGAATGTTTATTTCAAACGTTGTCTCTTCCTCCCCTCCTTCCCCACCCCCAAATGCTTTGAATCCCTTATAATGTCCCTTTCATGTCCTCTTAATAAAAGCACAGTGACAACATACAGTTTACTGCTTTGGTTTAAGCTTCTGCTTTAGTTGCACTTCCCTTCCCTTTGTTCTGTTCTGCTGCTGTTACTGTGATCTCTATCTCAAAGTTCAGCAGTTAAAACAGGAGAGCCTCAAAACATTTAAGAACAGGAAATGCAAGTTTGTTGGTGCTTGCAGTACAGTTTAGGTAGTGCCTGATACAACTTAGGAGCAGAATTTTGAATCCTTCCTAATTATTCTCAAGGCAAAAAATGCTGTCTGTGTGTAAAACATTCCAGTTGTTCTATATAATGCACACATAGACAAACTCTTTGATCTTTTAAGCTTATGTACATTTTTATGAGTATAGAGGGTGGGTTGGTTGGTTTGTTTTTAAAAATGCTATTGATTTTCTGTGTTGGCTTAGCACCTCTCTGGCCTTAAGGTGTTGCTCACCACTGTTGGGGTCTAAAATAACATCATGCAGGGGCATTCATGCACACGCCCTGGAGGTTCAGTTGCTCAGGTCTCCTAAGTACTGACCTGCGGTCCAGTCTAGAAGAGGATTTTCCTCAAGAGTGAATCTATTGCTTTGGAGCAAAAGAACAGGGCATTTCTTCCTTGCTTGGGTTGTTTCAGTACCTACCATGTCATCCCTTTGCCTGTAGAGCTGTGAAGGAGGAAGTAAAAGAGAAGGCGGTGTCCAGAGGTCACAGCACAGTGCAGTGAGGATACTGGTGCTTCAGTTGCCATCACTAGCCTGTGCAGCATGACTTGTGTAACTGAGCTCCTGGGTTCCTGGCCCTGGAAATGAAATTGTAGTGCTTGTTTAGCAGAGACAGAGAAAGGCAAGGCAGTAGCAGGAAGTATTGCTATAAATTTTCTGAAATCTTCTAATCTATCACTACTAAAATTCCTGCAGCTGCCCCCTGAAAGTCACAGGTTTCTTTGGGGTGTTTATTTACCCAAGAGAGTCAGGGTCACAGTATTAAGTGACTTTCAGGCCTCGGTTAACCTGTGTTTGAGGTGTTTGCTATCAGTCTTGGCTGGGGGAGTGGGACGCATCTCAGAGAATCTCGAAATATGAAGGATGCTGGATGAAATGAGCCTTCCCACAGAACAGGATAAGGTTAAATCAGTTACAGTGCTCATTGCAAGCTCTTTGCTGGACAGTAACCTGTTTTAGTTTGGTTTTGTTTGTTTTTTTTTTTTAATCTGGGATGCTTACAGCAGCACTGGGCATGAACAGACTGCTATAGAGTGACTCACTGGTGTCATTTTAGGGCATCAGGTTACATACTGGATGACTTTTACCTGGTCATGGATTCAATCTCCTTTGCTTGGCTCTGGATGTGGAAGACTTCTCTTACTGGAGGTTCGATATTTATGGTGATAATTTAAAATAAATAATTACCTTTAGATTTAAAACAGTTGATAATCTGTAAAATAGACACCTGCAAGGCATTGGCTCTATTCATGGTAAGTATGAATGCTAAATGCCTTGAATTATTAGAAAGGAATCAGCTCATTAGCATTGAGTATGGTTCCATCAGGCATACCTGGGTGATCAGCCCTGACCTGGGAAAGTCTTAAAGGCTCTGTCTATACTAGTAAACTGAGCATGCCTGGGAATGGTCTCTGGCACTGAAGCCAGCTGGCACAAAACAGCCATGAGCTCTTCGAGCAGCCCCTCATCCTGGCAAGACAGGGTAGCTGCACACAAGCTGCTTGGGGGGGCTGTGGGAGTGCTCTGGCTCCTGAACCCTGCCGGGAATGCTCCAGAGGAGTGCAGGTTTGCATGGGCCAAAAACATGCTGGGGCTGCTCAAAAAACTGAGCAGAACTGATGATCTCCTTCCAGTGCCTGGGAACATTCCTGACTGTGGTTTAATATATTCCAGTCGTCCCAGCTGGGTTGTCCACATAACATCTTTAGGTCCAGGATAACTGTGTGGAATTTGTCGGACCCAGCATTAGTGACCTAAATGCTGTTGAAGGTGGAGGAAGGAATGCTATCTCTGAGTCACCCAGACCTTGATAATTGCAAAAGATGGGTCCGGAAAAGGTGG